GTAGTAGTAGTAGAAGAAGAAGCAGTAGTAGTAGTAGTAGTAGTAGCAGCAGCAGCAGCAGTAGCAGTGCTAGTAGTACTAGCAGCAGCAGCAGCAGCAGCAGCAGCAGGAGGAGTAGTAGTAGTGGTAGCAGCAGCAGCAGCAGCAGCAGCAGCAGTAGTAGTAGTAGTAGCAGTAGTTGTTGTAGTAGTCGTCGTCGTCGTAGTAGTAGTAGCAGCAGCAGCAGCAGCAGAAGTAACAATGGGAATAGTAATAGTAACGGTAATAGAAGTAGTACTAGTATACTAGTAGCAGTAGTAGTAGTAGTAGTAGTAGTAGTAGTAGTAGTAGTGGTAGTAGTAGTAGTAGTAGTAGCAGCAACAATAGTGAACACAACCATTATCGCAATAGTAAGGTGCCCGCCCGGCCCAAAATACACGCAGGCTGCACCCGAGGCTTGTGGCCTTTGGGTGCTATCTCGTTGCCCTTCAGTTGGTCCCGCAGCTTGGGGAAAAGTTGCGAAGACTTCAGGCCTCAGGGCATCGCTATAATGGAATATCTGCGAAATCCAGCTGTTTGCCGGCCTGACATTCTGTAAGAAGAGTTGGCGCGCGCTTCCTTGAGGAGATGTGGCTATGCACACCTACATGGTCGCGCCGCGGCCTGGCGCCTTTCATGAGCAGATGCCATGGCTGGTCGACATGGACATCACTGGCGAAGTGCGGCAGTCTCGTTTGCCCACAGGCAGCGACAGCTCGATCCCACGGTTGCATTCCACTTTCAGAAGTTCCCGCTCACGCCGTCTCATGATTGGCATGCCGTCTGCAGGGAGCAGCTCGGCATCGCGGCGTCTCCAAGCGGCCATGGACAAGGCCACTTAAGCTTGGAAGGGAATTATGTAGTTTCTGAACAGGACTGGCCCGATTTGAAAACAGACCATGCTTAGCAAGGGGTAGTATTGGAGCTTTTTTAATTTAGGGTTGTTGTTTCGAGACTAGTTTCTGTAATAGGGTATTACTATTGCGATTATTCTTATTGTTACTATTAATATATATATATACACATACATACTTGTATTACTCATTACGACTATTACAATTATTACTGTTATTCCTATAACGATTACTATTATTATTCGTAGTATATATTATTTGTATTATTATTATTACTATTATTCGTAGTATATATTATTTGTATTATTATTCTTACTATCATTCCTAGTATATATTTGTATTCTTTTGGCTCGTCAGTCGGGTGCTTCGCTGGAGTCCTGGCTGCGCTCCTGGCTGGACGGCCCGGCAGAGGTTCAGGAGTTCAAGGGTTTTTGGGGGTTTAGGGGTTTTGGGGCTTTGGGTTTAGGGGTTAGGGTTTTAGAGCTCAAGGGCTCTAGGGGTTTAGGGGTTTAGGGGTTTAGGCTAACGGTTTAGGGTTTGAGGTTTAGGGGTTTAGGGTTTAGGGGTTAGGGGTTCAAGGGCTTTAGGGGTTTAGGGATGTTTAGGGTTTAGAGTTTAGGGTTTGGGGTTTAGGGTATAGGGTTTAGGGTTTAGGATTCCCAGCGCAGTCGCAGTCGCATGAGGCAGCGTAGAGCCCCGTGATGCGAGAGCATAATAGCAAGAAATATGACAATAACCATAGTAGTAATAATAATGGTCACAAGAACAGAAACACTAGTAATCATAGTAATACTGGTAGCACGGAAAATTATTAGCAGTAGCAAGAACCATCACCAGACCATTGCGCTGCCGTTCGACAGGACTCCGTTCATGCACCGCCATCGGCGACGCGGTGTGGCTGGAGCGGGATGTTGGTGCAGTCTTTGGGAAACTGTACAATGCCCCTAATGGTTCCTACAGAGGTACCTACACGTAAATATTTCTTGGGGCCCCAAAACTACATTTCAGGGGATGCTTGTGCAATCTTTGGGCAGACGCGGTATGCATCCCTGAAAACTTCTGAATGTGCCTTGCCGATGTTGTGGTAGCTGGCAGATTTAGCGAAAGACGGGATTCTCATACAGCAATCCTTCCTCGACCATCGATGGCGAGCACTCAACGTGGTACAGCTAGAAGTTTGCGCCTGGTTTTACTTCATGGCACCAGGGAGCCCTCCTGCTTTGCGAGGAGAGAGTTTCATGCTCAGCATGCACCACGGCTCGATAAGACACTCAGGTAAGTAAGGGCGTCAGGAACTTCGGCTTGCAGAAAGATGTGACCCTAAACCCTAAACCCCTAAACCTTAAGCCCCTAAACCCTGAACACGGTCATGAGGTCTCGGAGCTTCCAATGCCACCCTCAAGGGCTTCGTGGGAAGTTTCAGATGGGCTCCCATCCTTTGGCCGTTTTGACACCAAGACATTTGACAAAAGCGGCGAACATGCAAATCAGAACAGCTTGCGGCAAACTGTGCCGTGCTTCGACAATCTCATCTTTCCTTTTTCGCAGTGGTCAGCTGAGAGGGAGGACATTAGCAATCTGTTTTTCCATGCTCGAGACTCGTAAGCATCTGGGACGGCATGTAGAACGACATACCTGGGCTTCTAGACAACTTGCCAGGTCAAAGTTGCTCAGAGTTGTACGCAGAAGTCCACAACAATATAGCCCATTCGCTGTCACTGACACTGGGTGTTGAGAATTGCCACATTGCCCTGAGCCTGGTTTGCCGGCGAATTGTGTTGATGCAACGACACTAAGGAAAGGCATCGCCGTGGTGCCCTGCCAACAGCTTTGCCAGGCTCAGCCTTTGCCACAGCGCTCGGCGATCTTGCATTGCACCCAGATCCAAACTCAAGTCGAAAGGATTCTTTGCTTTTCAATCGCTTCTTTGCAGTTATTTAAGATACAAAGCCGAGGACAGACGCAAGCGGCTTCTCTTTGTTGCATCATGCGGCTGTCGCTGCTGCCCCGGCTGCGCTGGCAGCACTACTCTCCGCACGACGTCCGGTGCTGTGATTCTTCTGGGAATGCGGCGGGTTGAGCAAGAAGTTGTAAACACAAAGCTGACGCTTCAAACAAGGTGATGACTATGCCAGGCAGCCCCAGCTCGTGAATGAGCCTTGCATGAACCTACCGCGGTGCGCTGTTGGCTGTTCTGTCACACAATTGATGCGCATGCGTACATATATAGTATGGTATAGATACTTTACATTTATGCTGCACATATAATATATGCATATATATATATATACTTATTTATGTATGTATGTATGTATGTATGTATGTATGCATGCATGTATGTATGTATGTATGTATATATATATATAACGTATGTATACACATACGTGCATGCATGCATACACACGTGTGTGACTTGGACGGGTATGAGGTCGGATTGACAGGTCTTTGTTGCGGACATGTGCCTGCTGGCCGGATGTCTAGAGCATACTCACTGCCGAACCCAGCAAGTCAAAACAACGCCATTGGTAGTCTGTGCTTGCAGAAATGTCGAAGCCGAAGACTTGTGGTGTCGAATGCAGGGTGGCTCTAGGGTTGCATGTGTCTTTGCACTTGTCTTTGCTAAACCTAGAACGAAGCAAAACTAAACCCTAAACTGGCCCTAAGCCCCTCAACCCTAAACCTGCACCTCAGGCTGTGAATCAGCACGGAGACACACCCCTCAGTTTGGCAGTGGACAATCAAAGCTTGGCTTTGCTGTTGGAGGCAAGGCGCCGCGAGCAGTGTTATGGCATTATGGCACCGTAACATACTAAAGTAAGTGTAGACACATCTGTGTGTATATATATATGCACATTATAGACACATCATGGTGATATCTAGTTGATGATACTGAACTATAGAATATTAGATCACAGTACACTACAGAATTCAAGATGTTAGCTTCATGCACTCCTGGACACTGCCAAGATCAAATTCCGGACCTGACCGAAGCTTTCCTTCCTCTCATAGTGAGAATGCACAACATCCTCAGCCTCAGCCCCTTTAGCCGAGTGATGTGCACGATAGTATACCATAGTACATTTGTAGAAAGTTCTATTGGGATTTGGCAGAGATATTTTATAGTAGCGTTGTATATGACATATAGTATGTTAGTTTACTGTGGTATACTAATATTATATTATACATTGTAGTAGATTATAATGTGGGTTAGTTCATGTCGTTCCGCCAGTTACGCGCTGATCCTGCGATGCGGCCGGGCTGCTGTCCCGGTGCACTGACTCTTGGCGATAAGTTTGAGGTTTACGGTTTTGGTGTTTCGGGTCTAGGGCTTTGGAGTTTAGGAACTCGGATCTCTTCACGAATCAGCCCTAAGAACATTGAGCAGCTTTGGTGTGATGAAAAGCTTTATCCTAAACACCTATCATGATCTCTAAACCCCGTAGCGCGAATGAAAGAAGGGCCTGGAAATGCAGACTAGTACAGGCCCGCCCAGATCCGAAGAGTCAGCATGACTCCAAGGCTGGCTGCGGCTGCGCGATGCATGGATGATGAGTTTCTCCTGTCACAGCTGGAATCTGGAAATTTGCATGAGCGAAATGTACCCTGGAGCATAGAAGACAAAATTAACTTGTTTCAGGTGGCGGGTTTGACCACGATGTCTTGATGCCCGAAACCTTGCGCGTCAATGCGGCTAAATACTTTATGGCATATCAGACTATATCATGGTCTACATTGCCGATCAATTCCGTCCTTCGTCAAACTCAGGAATTCGGTGCAACGGCTCTTCACCATGCAGCACGCTGTAGTCACCAGCAAAGCCTCACTTTGCTTCAACACGGTGCTGCAAGCGACGTGCGTTGCTTGGTTCAGCAGTGATTAATGAAGGGCTCATTGCATGCATTTTCTTTGGATCAGTCACACGAGGTGACGCGGATGGTCGCACTCCACTGCACTTCGCGCGTAATGCTAACGTGGTTCGCGGGCTGCTGCTGGCCCGCTCAGATCTAAATGCCAGTGGCCTGGTTGCCATTTGATCCAACATTGATCACCTCGGAGGCTTGCTTCACGTCAATTTCATGGTTCTTGCACGATACCACGATACCCTACACCTAGTTCATATAGTTCATACGAATCAGATCATACGAACATGAACAAGAAAATGGCAACAACCCCAAACCCAAAGCCCGAAACCCTAAACCCTGTAAACCCAAAACCCAAAACCCCAGACCCTAAACCCGAATGACCCAGGAGACGTCGATGCCTCGACTCCTTTGCATTTGGCCTCCACGCGGCGCGGAGGGGTCCGAGCCTCACTGCACGAAAGAGCCGGAGGCTTCCCAGGTCCCTTTTTTGGGGTGTTGGGTTTGGGTTTTGGGTTTTGGGTTTAGGCTTTGGGGTTTAGGGTTTAGGGTTTAGGTTTATGGTTTAGGGGTCCGGCAAAGCACATGCATCTTCTTTCTCAAAGTTAGGGTCCCGTTTTAGGGCTCCCTAAAAGGGATCTATTAGGGTTTCACAAAAGGGCACTATAGAGCCCTCTACATTAGGGTCCCTTTTTAGGTCCCACATGTAGTACACCCTTATAACAACAGGACCCTAAAAGGGACCTTGATTTAGAGAACTACCCATATAGTAGAATATACCCCTATGCTACAATGTACCATAAGAGGAAATAATGTACGAGAATTGCCACAACAGATTCTAATGTGCGGCAGAGACCATGTGAAAGCTACAGCCATGGCTTGCCTGTAGTAGACCACGACAGTCCCTAGCCTACCACTACCGAGATGTGCCTTCAGCATCTCCCAGAAAGCAGTGTGTTGCTTTGTATCGTTCCCTGAACCCCTGAACACCCTGAGATGCCCTCAACCCTGAAATGCTGTAAGCCCGAACCCCAAACGGCCCTCCCTAGCCCTAAACCCTAAAAGCCCTTAACCCTAAGCCCTAAACAGACTTCCGTTCTTGCAAGACGGTAAAAGGCCCTCAAAAAAAAAGCAAAAGCCAAAAAACAAAATTCCGACTTCCGAGAGGTGTAGCACCCTAAACCCTAAACCCTAAGTAGCCCCCCTTAGAAAGGCCCTTAAATTAAAAAAACACCCTAAGTAGCCTGTTTGGTTCATCACCAGGCCCCGGTTGTGGCAGCGCTGCTGGCTGCTCGCGCAGATCCGGAGGCCGGCTGGGCAGCATCCCCACATCCTTAGTGTAGTATACTATGACTAGTATACTATACTCTGCTATACTATACTCTGCTATACTATACTATACTATACTATACTATTGTATATATATATATATAGAGAGAGAGAGAGAGAGAGAGACAGAGTATAGTATAGTATAGTATAGTATCGTATAGTATAGTATAGTATAGCATGGTATAGTACAGCATAGTATAGTATAGTGAAGTATAGATTAGCATAGCATAGCATGGCATAGTATAGTATATACCCGACCCCGATCCCTGAACCCTACACCTCCAAAACCCCGAGCCTGACTTGAACTCGACACCCTTAACCTAACCCCCAAAATCCTGTACCCACAGCACATACCGTGATCACCGGACCTTTTCCTCACAGTTCTACTGAACCCTAAACCCCAAGCTGCTTCTATTAGAAGCAGGCACGAGATTCCGCCGGACTCACTGCGGCCGACCGAACCAAGCAGAAGGAGTAGCGATTGAGCAGAATGTTCGGGGTTTCAGGGTTTATATCTCTCTCTATATATCTATATCTATATCTATATATATATATATGTATGTATAACTATATATAAGCATATACAGCTATATATAGTTATATGTAATCATATATGTCTATATAAATACATAGGATCAAAGTGTGCAGAAAATTGAGCTTCCCTTGGCCGACATCCACATCAAGTACTGTGTTGGTCACTTCATGAGCTTGCACTCGCAGATGTGATGCGATTTTGGGGCCGAAATAATTCCCAATGTTATTCCTTCGGGTTCCTTTGTATTTTGTATAGTTGTACTATACAGAATGGCACCCAAATACCCTATTCTATATAGTCTAGATATTACGGCCCCTACATTCCTTTGTGTCAGGACGTCCTGGATCTCTTGGCACATGCCGGTCCTTCACCAGCCTGCGCGGTTGAGACAAAAGACGTGCTGTGCAGAGGGAGTGTGGTGGGAAAGCTGCTCGAGTCTTGAATGTCGGGTCTATGACGAACAGTAATCATACCAACAACTATTACTACCAGTACCAACAGTACTAGAACTAATACCGATAGTACTAAATATGCTAATACTGATCGTCTTGATAACAAGGGCAATAGGAACCCTCATAGGAACCCGTGAGTGCATCTGAAGCGCCAGGTGGATCCTGGATCCCAAGGATGGCAGGCCACAGGTCGCGGCCACAGCTTGGAATGCGGCCGTGAGAGACTCGCGAGATTTGCTTGCTTAATCAGCCCTGAATAGCTTAAGAAGTCCTAAACCCCAATTCCTAAGTTAAGGCTCCATAGACAAAATCCGTAGAATTGCCCAGAGTAACCCTTACAAGCCCCTTTTCTGAAGCGTGTTTTCTGCGACACCTGAGGGAGGCACCAGGATCCTCGATCCTTGTGCCAAGTGCTTGGACTCGCGCTTCGCGAAAGACTGGAACAGAAGAGACGGTGGCACCTGCCGAGTCTTTTGAAGAGTACGAGATCGCCAGCTTTCAGTATTTCGAGGCTATGACTGCTCCTGAGGATGTGCTTAAGTGTGGGCTACTGAGAGAATCTAGATTTCTGAACGCTCTGGTCGCTGAGTCGCTGCTTCCGCCGGAGGCAATCAGGTTGCCAGATATTTGTCGTGGACGGTTCCTGTTCGATTGCTTCTCCACCACCCTGGAGCCGGGTGTGAGCCTTCTTTTGGATAGCCCCCTCGCGTCGCTGCATCTCGCAGCAGCACCTAATTCACCCGTTTCCCGAACTGCGGCTCCAGCCCTTCGCCCGAAGCCCTAAACCCAGCGAGTGGAAAAGGGTGCGAAAAAATGAGAAAAAAACTAACACCAACTTGGGAATCCCGCGCTTCCACAGTGCTGTTGCCCTTTGCCAAGACTTCAAGAAGTCGGTGGGAGCACGGTCAGGGGCGTATATATAAAACTAAACTAGTATAGTATATGGTATAGCACAGTATAGTATAGTCTAGTATGGTATAGATGATCGGACGTAGAAGCATGCGTTCTTTCCTGTGCTGTGCGGTGTTTGGGTCCGGCTGCGGTGCAAAAGGGCTTGTACTCAAAGCTGAAGTTCAGACAAACAATAGGGGTTTGTGCTAGATGGGTGGAAAATCTTGGTCATCATCTCCCGAAGAGATGTTGGAAACCTTGGGATTCTGGCTCCACTGAGACTGAGCAGCGCAGTAGCATCTGCGAAAGAGACTGCTCCAAGTGTCCCCACTACTGTTTGCCCACACGCTGAGCCACGCACAGCGTCAACTCCGCTTTTTAGTCTGCAGAGGGAGTTGCTGCTTTGTATCGATTCAGGGTCTGGAAATGTGAAGAGCCAGGTGGAAAGTACTCGCCCATGGCTGTGATACCAGACCGTCGAGCTCTCTATGACTTCGACTGGCAAGGTCAGGATTTATCCTGCCTGCAACAATTCTGAGAGGATTTCAGAGCTGCCCCTACGAAGACTCACAATGTCCTTGCAGGAGTGAAGCCACCCGGCCATCACTTGAAAGATCTTGTGATCTATGAGACTCATGTGCGAGGATTCACCCGGACGCTCGGCCGAGCTTAGATTCCTAGATCACTGTACTGGAATGTCTGATCTCCCTAGACCCCAAACACTAAACCCGAAGCCCCTATCTTGCTTCAAGCCAACACCAAGGAATCCAGACAGCAAGCTGCAGGATTGGGACGCCACAGCAGGTACATTCCTAGGCAGGTTTGTGATTGTGTGTGTGTGCGTGTGTGTGTGTGATACATGCTTCTGTTCTGCCTCTGTCTCTCTTTGTGCGTGTCTGTGTGCATGTTTGTATTTTTGTTACGTGTGAGAGCTGTCCAGGCTTCATTCAGAAGATCCCGCACTTGCTAAAGCTCGGAATCAATGCAGTGGAGCTCCATCCTGAGCCGGTGAGGGGGTGCAGCCATGGAGCAACATTATTATATCATATTATATTATATTATACTATACTATATGAGATAACCCATATCCGCGCAGCAGCATCTGGGTGGTGTAAAACTCGTGCAAAGCGCAGGCTAGCCAGGACTACTTGGAGGTTCACGGGTAGTTATAAGTGGGGTTATAAGTAGGGTAACTATAGTTATAACCCATATTAGGGGACTTATAACCCCACTTATAACTACCCATGAACCTCCAAGTAGGCCACCCCATGAATGCCCCATGCCTGGGTCCTCATCCCATTCCTCTCTGCTCTCGAGCGCAAAGCGGGAATACGAACTCTTCAGATCTCTTGAGGCTGCTGCCAGTCTACGAGTTCGATGAGACTGCCTGCCCCAGGACCCTTATAAGGGAACCCAAACATGATCCCGAAATAACGAGGTGGCCTGAGCGCAGGTCTATGGAACTGAGCTGCAACAGGTACCGAAGATAGAAGCCCTTTTGTAGGAGCCCTTAAGGGTGAACCCTCGTCGGAACCCCCGAAAATCACGTGGACACTTGTAGGAACCCATTAGCCATCTGCAACTCTGGTGCACCCTGGGGCCTGGCGAGGAAGAATCCACACAATGGCGAACAGCTTTGCCACTTTTGGGGCTACTCCACGGCTGCTTGGCACGTTGCTGGAAATTCTGGAACTTTCGTAAGCCTGGCCACGAGCATGTACATCTTCGTGTCTTTGTGTGAATTCCTGGGCGCCGCAAAAAAACCTCCGCCTTTGAAGGTCAACTTCTACGTTCCGATGCAGCGATTCTCCTCCAGATGCTTGGACACGGTTGATACTGCCGAGGGTTGCGATTCCAGTCTTCCGTGTCACAGCGATTGCAATGCCAGGACCAAGAGGTGTGCCGAGTCTTTGTCCAATCGTCCGCAAGCTTCACTTGTAATCCGAGGAGATCGGATTGGCGCTGCAATCGTCGGCTTTAAGACCATGGTGAGAAGCATGGCACAGCAATGGCCCGCATCCGAACCCAGAAAAAGCCGTCTCAAAGTAAATCAACCCTAAATTTAAACCCCTAACCCCCTACAACAAAACTAAATCCACAACTCTAAACCCCTCCTTAAACAAAAAGCCTTAGATCCCTTTCAAGCTCCTTCAAAAATCAGCCGAGGAGAGCTGCACCGTGTGGGCATCGAAGTGATCCTCGACGTGGTCTTCAATCACACAGCCGAAGGCCGGGGCTTCGCGTGCTTTTTTTTGCAGCATTCATTACCTCCTTGTCCGAGTACAAGTATTACCGTTGTTACAACAATAACAACTATTATAATTGTTATAACTATCAATATTATAATAATAACTATTATTATTTGTACTATTATTGTTATGTTTCACCTTCGTATGATTTCGTGGATGGTTTGTTGTTGCATTCAGTGTTACTCGACCCTTCCTAGTCGAATCATGCTGTGTATGCAATCCAATCCAGAGGATGTTGGGGTGTAGCCGAGCCATGTTCGCCCTTCGGAGGTGCATGGGGCGAGCACCACTGGCACAGCTGGGCTGCTATTGCCAAGGAACGCTACTACATTCTTAACCGCGGTCACGACACCAACTACACAGGTGCGTCGTGCCTTCGAGTCAGTTGTGTGTCGCGAAGGTTGCTCTTTTCATCTTTGCAGGTTGCGGAAACACTGTCAGTGCCAATGACCCCATGACCTGCGACTGGATTGTAGACTGCCTTTGCCACTCGGCATGTGCTGCTTCGAGATACAGTCGTCAGCATTCCTGGAACAGCGGACGTTGCCGGAGCATGCACGTGACATGTACAACTCTAGAAGTTATAGAGTCGACCGCTGCGACATTGTTGGCCGTTGTTACAGGCCGGACCCACGAAGGCTTTTGCTATGCTTCTGTCGTTGGTAGCTGACAGAATCGAGTTTGGCTTCTACGTGCCGACCAACTTGAATGACGAGCAAACCCTGCAATATCGTCAAATACCCGCGCACAACCCTGCACAATGATGAATTAAGCCCTAAACCCTGTAAACCCTAAATCCTGAACCCTAAACCCTGAACCCTAAACCCTCAACCTCAAGTTGCGAAGCAAAAAACAGTGAAGCCTTGGAAGGGCGTAAAGGGAGTGCTGCTTGCATCCTGCTTTGTGAACAACTGCGTTCATAGACATATGACGTGCCCATCTGTGTGTATGTGTGTGTGTATGTATATATATATATAGAATTATTTATTTGTTTATTTGTTTTCATTTATTTATTTACCTGTTTCTTCAAACCCGACACCCCTAAACCTTAATCCTTGAGGCTACTGGGTGGAGGAAATGCACGTGGACGGCTTCCGTTTCGACCTGGCTTCCGCGCTCACCCGCGGAGGGGACGGCAAGGCCGGTCCAAGGAGGGGCTATGGGTTCAGGGGCTTAGGGCTTAGGGGCTTAGGCTTAGGGTTTAGGGTTTAGCATTTAGGGGCTAGGGTTTAGGGTTTAGCGTTTAGGGGCTTGAGGCTTAGGGTTTAGGGTTTCGGGTTTAGCGTTTAGGGGCTTAAGGCGTTTAGGGTTTCGGGTTTAGCGTTTAGGGGCTTAGGGTTTAGCGTTTAGGGTTTAGCGTTTAGGGTTATAACATTCCTGGAGCAAGAACCCGACTAAGCAATGGCTCCATGGATCCCCATAGAAGGGGAAACCCTGTTGTCTACTTAGGATGACCCTTGCAGAACCCCGCGCCCTAAACCTCGAAACCCAAAACCTCAAACTCCCTAACCCTAAACCCAAAAAGCCCTAAGCTCCCCCCCAAACCCCTAAACCTTAACCCCTGAAAACGCTAAACTCCCTCAACTCCTACAACTTAAACCATTAAAACTCCCTATGTAAACCTTAAGCTCGGTCTCCATGGATCCCGTATTTTCGAGCATAGATCCCAATTAAGATACAGTAGCTTCATTCAATTTTCCGAACCCTAAACTCACTAAACCCTAAACCGTAAACTCCCTAAGCCCTCAACCTTAAACCCTAAACTCCTAAACCCTAAACGCTAAACTCCACAAACCCTCAACCCTAAACCCCTAAACCCTCAACCTTAAACCCCTAAACCCGAAACCCTAAACTCCCTAAACCCTCAACTCCCTAAACCCTCAACCGTAAACCGTAAACTCCCTACACCCTCAACCTTAAACCCTAAACCCCTAAACCCTAAACCCTAAACTCCCTAAACCCTCAACCCTTAAACCACGAGAGCAAAAGCCTGTAGGTCTCCATGGACCCTCTGCTCATGCGGAAGATGGCCCAAGAGCCGAAGCTCTCGCGCCGAAGCTGAAGCTTTGGGGTTCAGGCTTAGGATTCAGGCTTAGGGTTTAGGGGTTTAGGGTTCTTGGAGTTTTGGGGGTTTCGGGAGTTTAGAGTTTTGAGGTTTGGGGTTTTGAGGGTTTAGGGTTTGGGGTTCAGGGTTGAGGGGTTTCGAGCTTTGGATGTGGGAGTTTTGTAGTTTAGGGCTGAGGGTGTTGGGTTTAGAGTTCGGGTTGAGGGTTGAGAGCTAAGTCTAAGTTTTAGGGTTTCGTAAGGATTGCACAAGGTTAGTGTGGTTTCAAGGTTCGGGTTTGGCGTTGCGCGGGGCTTCTGATGGGGGCTTGGCAGATTGTGTAAGGATGTTGCAGGGTTCTATAAGGGTTTATAGCTTCTCAAGTCATTTAACTCAAGTCGCTTTAGAATGGATACATGGTCAAATACGGGTAATTAGCCCCTTTTCAGATCCCAAAAAGGACTTGAATTGGGAACCTAATTTAGAGAACTACCCATATAGCAAAGCAACGGAAAGGGCTAATACCATGGCTGAGCTGTAAGATCTGAGAATCAGCGAAGCATCGACGGACGTCGATGCTGCCGGGTTATGAGGGCTCAACATCAAAACTAAACCAGAATATGTGTGCTTGCTGTCTTTGGTTGGCTGCATCTTTGAAATTGCAAAGTGAAGTTGCACAGGGCATCATGCTGGCTGTTTCTCTGCCAGAGCTGCTGCATGCCTTCCACATGTGCTCTGTTTCGGGCACGTCTTAGGCGAGCCAAGTTCATCGCGGAAGCGTGGGATTGCTCCTGGCCAGACGGCTCCCTGCCTTTGGAAGAGTTCAAGAGTATGATGGACTGTTGAGCCATCACACAGACATATCAATCCTGAGGGGATCTGATGTGAGATGAAAGCAAGACCTGGGCTCAGGTTACCTCGTGGGCAAGTTTCCATCGGGCGGGCCTCCGAGATGGGCTGAGTGGATCCTTGGAACGCCTTGGACCAGAATGGACGATTGAGCTGTCTTGGACCATAACAGCAGTGGCTGAGGAACGGCATCTTCCGGGATACCATTCGATGTTTCATCAAAGGGGACGCTGGGAAAACGGGCGACTTCGCAACGAGGCATGGCCCAGCACAGATCTCACGTGCCAACTGCCTATGCATCATCTGCGTGCTGGTTTCGCAGGATTTGCGGCAGCTCTGACCTCTTCAAGCACAATGGCAGAAAGCCGTTCCATTCGATCAACTTCATCACAGCCCACGACGGATTCACCCTCAAGGCTCTCGGCGAGTGAAACGGTGGGTTCTGAAAATAAGGGACCCTTGGTTAGAGGTTTAGGTTTTAGGGTTTTAGAACCCTCCCAAACAAGGCACCTGTTGTACCCCTATTTCTCTGAAGCTTCCCAGATGGTAGGACGCGAAAACACCTGCGGTATTTTTTTTTATACTGGGGACAGGATCTGGTGTCTTACAACGGGAAGCACAACACGTGCAATGGCGAGAACAGCGGCGACGACCACAACAACTCCTGGAACTGTGGTGCAGAAGGTGACACAGGCCCTTCCTCGCTTACCCATGTGTCTTTGAGCTTGCCTCATCGCGATTCCCCCCAAACCCTGAACCCTAAATCTCGTGAATGTTAATGCCTGCCTCTAGGCGAGGGGCACGTCAAGCATCTCCGCCAGAAGCAGATGAGGAACTTCATGGTGGCTCTCTTTATGAGTGCAGGAACTCCAATGATCCTCGGAGAGAGCCTAAAGCCCCTCGTGAGTGATGCAATCTAGGAGCCTTAGTCGTTAGAATACCGTTTCGGGTACATTGTAGCACAGTATGCTCCTATTACACTTCGACCTACTCCATGTTTTCTCTTATCATGCATAATCAGACGTTTTCCGAGTAGTAAGGGCTCTCCCCCTGTCCCAGTGCCTAAACCCTACACCCTAAGCCCCTAAACCCTAAACCCCTAAACCCTAAACCCCTAAACCCTCCCCCCCGGACCTCCCAGGATCCTTTATGGAGACGAGTATGGGAGATCTCAGAAAGGTTGCAACAACGGCTGGTGCCAGGATGCCCGCTGCTGGTTCTCTTGGAGATGCTCGGCTCGCACAGACTCGATTTAAGCTTCGGGATTTGGGGCCTTTTGGGGTTTAGGGCTTAGGGTTTAGGGTTTGGGGTTTAGGGTTCGGGGTTCAGGGCCTAGCCCATGCACCCAGCATGAGGCGACGCAGCGAAAGAGGACAGCAAGCTCAACCGCTTCGTTCGTCTACTTATCAACTTGAGGACGCGACTAAAAAGGATACACTGCAGCGGTGTTTCGTCGAACTGGCGACTCCTGTGCAGGAAGCAATACTCCGGGATATTTAACCGGACGGAGTTCTTGACCAACAAGGTCGGCGCTAGCGTTCTTCCAACTCGAGTTTTGTCCATGCTCCTTGGCCTAAGGCTGATATGCACTGACTGGCAGGACATTTGGTGGCGTGTACATTGGGACGATCCATACAACTACATCTGCTACGTTTTGCACGACCATCACGTGCGGCACCTACAGTCAGTGCCGAATTTACCCCAAACCCCTAAACCCTAAACCCGAACTGCGGATTTAGGCCACCGGGAAGGGCTATGCTGGACTCTTGGTTGCCTTCAATGCCGGCCACGAGGCCCCACATTCCAAACCGACGGTGTTCAAAGAAAGTGACGTTCGGCAGGTTCGATCGTGCGATCTGCCCGCAGACAAGCCATGGTATCGTCCTTTGACTGCACACTTAGTGCACACTTAGTGCTTGGTGTATTTGCAAGCGATGGAACTTGATCGATCGGTGACTGATGAAGTGCAAGATGGCACGATTCGTCAGTTGTATTTAACGCAGACATTGACAATCACAGCGCGGTCTGCACTGTCCATGGAAGGAATCATTGACACCAACCTGGCGCCACCGAATGATATCTGCGAGAATGAAGCCTCGATGGTAAAGATTTCTTCGCGCGACTACGTGATGCATCTGGTCGAGAAACTGGAGGGCTGAAGTACACCAGTAGTAACAGGCTAAGTTTGTCGTCGAACCGAGGCAACCGTACAGCTGCATCGTTCTCAAAACGTATTCTGACAAGGCGTCACTTGGCAGCCTGATATGGACGGCTTTCATACCCCAAACCCGAAACCCTACTCCGAGCCGAGGTCCATCAAGCAGTATGCCGACGCCGAGTATGGCGCCGATCAGGATGCCTTGGGCGAGCTTCAGGGTTTTGGGTTTAGGGTTCTTTGTTGGCTCAGAATGTTCGTTGAATAGGTGCTATGGACTGCTGAGTACGTGCGGTCAGTAACGTTGACTGCCAAAGACCCTAACCCTAAGGTGAGCGTCCTCTGTGGATAACAGCTGCAGCGAAAGGCCCTCCACAAAAAAAAAGAAGTGAACGTCCCTCGATCGGGCAGTCGTGTGCTTGGGCCTAGGTAAGGCGATGGAAGCGGATTAGTCCGGTGAGAATCCCTCAGCAAATAGTCCCTCGCCGTACACCCGCCTCAGCCATCCTTGGCATTCTGACTTTGGGATAACCGGCAGGACCAAAAGAAGTGTCCAAAAAATACTGACGGTGTCGCAATATGGCCAGGACCTCAACGCGCACATGAAGGCAGTCATCACCCGGCGCATGTCCATGGAGTTCACGTCGACTGTGGAAGGACCATCTTTAGAAGAAGTGGGTACGCACGGCTGCAAGAAGGTGGGGTTTAGCATTTAGGAGCTCCTATCCTACTTTTGCCTTTGTACTGTTGCTGAGCACTCTCTTTGCGTGAGTTTGGCAGGGATATTGCGAGCCAATCTTACTGGGATCTGCATCTTGCGGGGGTTTCAGAACAGAAAGGTCCCCGTTTAGGGGCTCCTTGCTATGATTTAGGGTTCGAATTTAGGGGGTTCGCTATTTTCTGAATCTCCCCTTTTCCCAAAAGGTCGGAAGCAGAGCGACGAAGCCATGGGTCGTGTGGCGTCAATGGTGCGCATGCGATCTTTAATGTCAGGCCAGGCGCTGCTTGGGTTTAGTGTGTAGTGGACATCGGCTTGCAGATGGTGATGGTAGAAAAAATTCAACAACAACAACAACAGCAGCAACAGCAACTGCACCGGCACCCGCACCCGCACCAGCACCAGCACCAGCACTGGCACCAGCACCAGCACCAGCACCAGCAGCAGCAGCAGCAGCAGCAGCAACAGCAACAACAACAGCAGCAACAGCAAGAAGAACAAGAACAAGAACAACAATAGTAGTACCAACAAGAATAAAAGATGAGAGTCGCAACAGTGATAATAATAGTGATGCTAAAGACCCGCATAATCACAATGGCTTATCCAAGAGGGCCTGCGAGGGAGGTCTGCCACAAAGGTTTCTATTTGCGACACCTTACCTGGGAGTTGTGATGCGGACGTTGGAACAGGGATCTCTCGGGAGCATCAGACATGTAATACAGACTAATCTAGTATAATCTGAATCAATCAAGTAGCATCTAACCTAATCTCATCTAACCTAATGTAAGAGAATACATTAGAATGCAATAATGTAAGAACAAAGCACAACAGGATGTAGTGTCGCCGTGGGTGCGTTCGTTTCTGTGTCTGAGCTGGTGTGTTTGCACCCTCTGCACAACCAAGAAGGTTCATCCAAGAGGGGGTTCAGTGTTTAGGGTTTAGGGTTTGGGTTTAGTTTAGGGTTCAGGGTTGAGTGTTCAGGGTTGAGGGTTCAGGGTTTAGAGTTTAGGGTTGGGGTTTAGGGTTCAGGGTTTGGGGTCACCTTGGGCTGGACCTAACAGGCGCCTTCCTCGACCTCTTGGGCGAGGACAGGGGCAGCATAGGCCCGTAAGAAAGCCGACATACGGTTGATGATACAAATCCTTAGCATTACCCATAATAAGGAATATACCATAATTCCCATAGTTTAGGGTCCTGAAGGTAATGCAGGATTTATATCATCAACAGTACCACGGCTTATGGCTCAGGGCTAAACCCTATGCCCCAGACCCTAAACCCTGCAAGCGAGTTCGCGAACAGGGACGATGTTCGACTGCTTTAAGAGCGATCTTGAAGCAGGGCTGTTGAAGTTCATTCACGCCTTGCAGGAAGACGTGGCGTGCACGACATATTCGACACATTTGACAATCAACTGAACATGATTGCGCCATTCGATGCCATTCGTATATTTGCTTCTCCCTACTGAAACGGCGAAGAAATGCGTAGCGCGTTTCTGCGCTCTATTCTAGTGCCTTTCATGAGGCTTGCCTGTTTGGTTGTTTGGGGGGAGGCGGGCGGGTGTGCAAAAATCGGGGGGGGGGGGGAGGCGAGGGCGAACTTGTCGGATGACGCCCTTGTCGGGCCTTCGTTTTCAGCTCTCGAGTTTTATATATCGGCGCTCCCTCTGCAAAGCTCTACCACGCGAGCCCAAGTCTTCAAAAGGGCAAAGCGACGTTGAAACTTGCCGAAGCAGTGGTCTATAAAGTTTTATAGTTGAGCTCCATGCAAAAACATATTTGCAAGCATCGTGTACAGTAGCTGCTGAGCACGCTCTTATCACATGCCGGTGCTGAAACAGCAGCTCCCACCGCATACGACTCGGTCGGTTTTCCAAGAACATCGCATGCATGGCGATTGCTACTGCCAGGTCCGCAGGATCTGAGCTTAACAACTCAAAACGAGCTGTCAGCCGTCAAGTCTGGCAAGTCTTCCGAGGAATCACTGTCCCAACGACCCAAGCACGTTTGAAGACACAGATTCCCGTGCTGAAAGCTCCAAATGCAACACAAAGCCAAGGCCAGCAGTGCGCCATCTTTCAACATGAGCACGTGGAAAGCCTAAAATGCTTTCGGGTTTGCTTTTTCCTATCCAATCCCGTGTTATTCATGTCTGCATGAACTTCATGTCTGTGGTCTCAAGTGCTGGAAGCACTAGCAATATCCAGATAAGACGAAAAATTGACATGAATCCAAGCTACAAAATCTACATTCATGCATCTCTTCACGAGCCTCTGGTCCTTCTACAGGATGTAGTAGTGGCACGGCACTGATGTGTCTTGAAAAAACCTGAGCATCATCTTCCTGAAGCCTTTTATTTTCCCTGAAACCAGAAACGCAATGTCCCGCACATATCGAGTCAAAACCACCCCTGCTAGTGAACCCACTGGGTAAACCCTACACGGTGGCTCCAGGGTTTTAAGAACAGGTTGGTCCAGAAGGCTCCATGAAGGTCTTCCCTTGAAGAAGGGTTGAGGGAATGTTCCGAAGGATCCTCGGCTGGATAATGCCTCTTGCATATTATGGCCCCCTTCTGGTCACCCTACATCAGTGGTTTATAGGGTTTGTATACTTGTTCTGGCCCCCTTCTAGTCACCCTACATCAGTGGTTTAGGGTTTATGGTACATAAAAGTATAGTATACTTCTTCACGACCCAAAGGGTCGATACAGCGAATGCCAGGGCGGCATCGCCCCGAGTCATCAGGGGTGTATGAAATGCGTTGTGCAATATCTGACAAGCATGGGCATGGAGAATTCTATTAAAGTCTGAGTTGTATTATTATAGAACTATTGCATTCTGGTCTATTTATTGTATAATAAATAGCTCAGCTTGGTATCAGAGAAGGATCCTTGTGTTGAGGTCGGCTTTCCTGCGCCTTCCAAGGGCATCCTCCCGTCCCCTCGCACGACCCATCCCCAGAGAACCTAATACCCCTTAATTAAGGAATACACATTCAACTATAGGGGCTTTATTATTATGGCTTAAGGTAAATTCTTTAATTCAGGGGTATTGGGTTCTCTGGGTCCGGAATTGAACTGCTCCGGGGATCGGACCCTCGACCCTAAACCCTTGGAGACTTCAAACGGGAGTTTCCGAAAATAAGGGGTAGCCCTTTTTGGGGTCCTTATAACAAGGATCCTACTATTTAGGGTACTATGTTAGGGTCCCCTATTTTCGGAAACCTCCATACTGATCCGGGGGGAGCCCCAACTCCTGCAAAGTAGGTTCCTGCAGCCGGAAGCCCGAAGCATTCCACCACTCTGCAGGACGGCCAACCTGCCGTTTTGGAGGAGGCGACCTTGAGAGAGGGAGAGAGAGAGAGAGAGAGAGAGAGAGAGACAGAGACAACATGTCTAGTCGGGGGAAAATACAGTAACCCTCGACTTACATGTACCTTTTCACACCCCCTGAAAACCCCGAGAAACTTGGGGGGCCTAATAGGCCGGGGGGTCTAACCGACTCCCC